TACCCTAAATAGTAGGATCCTTATTATACGGACCCAAAATAAAGTACCCCCTATTTTCGGAAACTCCCATATTCACAATAAGGAACCCCCCCCCAAAGTAGTATTGGCAATTCTTTACGCCCTATACTAAAAATCGGAAATCTGGAGCTTCTCAAGAGAGTTGGTCCAGCTGGCGTGCGATGAAGATCTCGTCCTTCTTGATCTGATTCAACCTTCACGTTTGCTGGCGGGCTTTGATTTTTGGTCTGGCCAGCATTGAAAGGCTTTGGGATTTAGGGTTCCCGCTCAGCTGTGCAGCTCTTGTGTGTTCGTCGGCCTTTGCTTTCGCATACCTTCCACCGAAGCATCATCCCCAGCACCCACCCCTGAACCCTAAACCCTAAACCCCTCAACATGCTCATGGCTATTGTCGGGTTTGATGACTAGGTCAAGGCTCAGCTTCACCACCAGGGTCTGCGAACAGGAAGCCGAGACGGTATCGCCAAGCCCAGACGCGGGTCTCTGTCACCGGAATGAAATTCAGATATGGCGGATATAGATTGGGGAAGGACCCTCTTGGCCCTTGTCCCCGTCCTCTGTCTGGATAGCTTGGTCTCGCCCTCTTTCAGCGGGACCTGGCCGAAGCCGATGCCCTCAATGCTGGCTTGCCGTTTGATAGTTTCAACCGGGCTCCCTGCCAAACATATTACTAGCTGGCTGAGGCTATATGTCTAGCATGCACACTGAACCGTGTGCAAGTTGAGGACAACACAGATACTTCCTGACGCACCAGAACCCGAAGTCACCAAGCTGCATACATCCTGAACCTTCACCAAGGCTCTCATGAACAGTCTTGATGCGCGAAGGAACTACGCATGCAGTTGCCAGCTGCACATGCAAGGCACGCAAAGTCTGGCTGTTGTTCCCTTTCGGCCTGCAGTTGCAGACAAGCCTCAACTCAGTTGAAGGTTGTTCAAAACCCACTCGCGGGATATCTAGGGACTGAAGCTCCATATGGGCTATTAATACGTCCCTTGCTTTCCTGCAACTCTCTATGAATGTCAAAACCTTCCCCCCCCTCCCGGCCAGAGGCGACAAAAGGTCAATCAGCGCAAGATCCTGAGGGCGATGCTTCTCGTCGGATATGGGAGTTTCCGAAAATTAGGAACAGCTTATTTGGGGTCCTTAAAATAAAGATCCTACTATTTAGGGTACTATATTGGGGTCCCATATCTACTCAGACTCTTTGCAGCATGGGCTTGGGTTGTGTGCCAGCGAAGGCTCCTCAACAGGGCCTGGGCCTTCTCGCTTGACGAGGGATGCAAACGTGGGAGTGAGAGAAACACGAGAAGCAAAGAAGCGTCGACGATCTCCTGACTTACCGTTGGTGAGTAGGGAATGGAGGAATGGGGTACAATTGTCGCTAGTATTACTACCATTCTTCCATTCCCTACTAACCAAAAGTAAGCTGAGAAATCTTCGGAACTTGCTTCTGAACCACACATCCGGCAAAGTCCAATCGACTCATTCTGGGTACCTGTAAGATAACCCCGGCTGTTGGCCGCGATATTCGACGTCGTAGGCTAACACGAAACTCCTGTTCCTTTCACTTCTCTGCTCCATTCCCCTGGTGAAGCTGCAGCTGTGGATGACTGAGGCTGGGACAACTTCTGATTCAGCTTCGGACCTTTCGTAGGCTCAAATTGGCTCAAAGTTTAGGGTTTCGGCGCTCACACTCGGACAATCCAGGCGAGGCAGTTGGTTCGGAGGGTTTAGGGTTTAGCTGCAGGTCTTCGGGCCAGTGTTGCAGGACTCCCAGTCACAACTAACAAATCTGCCGTCTTACGCTTTGGCCGCGATGGCGGAATTCTTGGAGGCTCGTGGCCTCCTTCCGGGTTTCGGCGCTCACACTCGGACAATCCTCCTTCAGGGTTTAGGGGTTAGGGTTTCGGCGCACACACTCGGACAATCCAGGCGAGGCATATGGTTCGGAGTCTGAAGGGTGAAACTGCACTAACGGGAGAGTCATGATGACATGAACCAACAAAGATAATCCAACACCTGAAGTGACTGTGCTCTGCGGTGACTTCATCCCTCTCTCGAGGTCTTTCCAAAGTGAAGCAGATGTAAAACTAGTAAGACCGTGAGGGTTCAGGGTTTAGGGGTTTAGGGTCCTGCGCCAGACCTTTGTCTTGAGACCCTCAGCTTGGCGCGTTGAAGCTTGCAAGTCCCAAGGTTCGCAGATGCGTTGCTGTTCGGTGGCTCAGTGCTTCAGAGTTCCAATGCCCGGTCAAGATAAGACCGCTCAAGTTCTCGGGGTTGAATTGAAATGCGCGTTTAGTGCAGCCAGTCCTTACAAGAGTAAGCCCTCCGCATCTTCAGCGCGATGTACACCGAGGCCATCCACAAGGATTCGCAGCTCATAGTCTGAGCAAGAGCAAAGTGCTTGAGCTTCCAAAAACCAGGTTGCTCCTACTGGGTCCAATTCCGGTTTCAGAGCATCGAAGTTGAGGAAATGAGGCGGGGAGAGGGAGGGAGAGAGGGGAAGAGAGACAGAGGAGAAAGCGAGACATAAAGCCAAGCGTGCGCGCGTATATGCATTCATTGATTCATTACTGCTTCTACTGTCTTGGTTTATGCTTCGCTTTTCTATATTATATGTACAAACACACATATGTGCTTACAGGCATGCACATGAGCGTACACGTGTAAATCTATCTATCTATCGATCTATCTATCTGTCTACCTACGCGCGCCGTTGCGGGTTCTTGCAGACAGATATTCAGTGCTCTAGAATAGGGGTGCTTGGATCAACTTTCATATGACACATGCATTCACGCATGCATGCGTCCATGCCAACATGCATGTACTTAATAACATATCTATGCATATGGTCTGACATTCTATGGCACGGAAGGCTGGAGGCAGGCCCTGCTTTCTGCCCGAATGCAAAACAAGGAATCAGCTCGTCTAAAGAAAGGCTCTCGGATACACTCAGCAACACCAAAAGGAACACCCCCCGACCATCTCACATTGGACTGGCTGCGAGATAATACTTAATACCGTTTGCTACGACCATCGCAAACCTAGTTGGAGAGCCGCCCAGCCCACATCTCTAAACCCTAAACCCTAAAACCCGAAACCCTACACCCGAAACCCTAAACCGTCCATGGATTTCGGGGCCGGGCCCAAGCCGCAGCTTGCTTCGACCGCCCCTTGCAGTTCATTCGGGCAGAGACAATCTGGCTAGGCGCGATGCCATCAGGTAAGGAGTCAGGAGCTCCAGGAGCTTAGGGCTTAGGGTTTAGGGTTGCGGACTCTGGATAGCTTAGGGCTTTAGTAGTGCTAAGCCTTTGACCTAGAATCCAAAGTCAACAGTAACCATGCTTGTCGGCATTGGACATTACGTGGTCAAGCGTAAACTAACTAACTGCAGCCCTACAAAATCCGTGGTCTGTCTCTCGGGACTCGGGCCTCCGTCCACCACCTGCTCTCAAACTGCAAGAACCCGACCCCCTACTTGACCTTCTTGTCGAAGTCGATCGAAAGCGCACCTCCTAACACCCAGTGTCCGGACAGCCGGGGCCTGCAGTTGAGGCATCTCGTCACCTCCAGCGAACAAGATGAGCAGAGCGTCTGGGGATTATGTAGGGCAAGGCAGATGGGAGGTGAAACTGGCTGGTACTCGACGCTAGCCTTGCAGACCTCAGGAGGAGAACGCACAAAGGTCCCGACTCACAGAGACGTCGGTGCCGTGAAAACAGCTGGCTGCTGCTTAACCTGAGCCCCTCGCAAGCGTGCATATTCACGGCCAGGCGATCCATGTAGGACACAGCCTCAGGTTGATGTTTCACAAACAACTTCAGGGTGCTTCAACATTGTCCAGGTTCCAAGCCGTGAAGCCCAGGATCTGCAAACGCCCCATGCGACTCATCCCAGCAACCCCATCCCGCAAAGTCTTTCGTGGCAGTGCCGGGAGAGTCCTAAACCCTAAACCCTATAGATCCCTTAAAGGAACCCTCGGTATCTTCCTTAATTAAGGGAGTGATGGATTAGCGAATTGGGGTTTGTATCGGGCGCCAACCACAGGCTCCAACTCTGAAGCAAGCGAGCTTGTGGCCCCTGCAGCTTACATCCTTGTCTTAGGGTTTAGGGTTTAGGGGTTTAGGGTTTAGGGCTTAGGGGTTCAGGGTTTAGGGGTTTAGGGTTTAGGGGTTTAGGGTTTAGGGGTTTAGGGTTTAGGGCTTAGGGGTTTAGGGTTGTTCTTGTTAAGAAGCTGTTGACACTTTTGCTTGTTGCTTCTGCTGCGACCCGTCAGAACCTTGACAAGTCTGAGCCCCAAGCATCTGCAAGCCACTCGTCACGGTAGCCCAAACTGGAAAACCTGAGTGTTGAGCCATGGGGTCTGTAGGCTCCTTTGTGCTGTGTCGCTAGTTCATTCTCCTCGCTCCCTACGTCGAACTACACTCAGTGGCATTTGCATCTGGCAACACCCTCACCCTGTTCGGCCGGAGTCGACTACATATGCACACGAGCCCCCGGAAGCACAAAGCAATGAGGATAACAAACTTGGGGCATGACTTCAGTGCCACCATGACCCCACCTGACAAAACCACAAGGCTAAACTACTAAACCCTAAACGCTAACCGCATCACTCTGAGCCCCGTGCCGGCTCGTGAACCTGGCGGTGGCTAGATGTCGATCTGCTGCTTAAACCCAAGTTTGTCCAACAAGCAAAGTCCGCTCCCCTTAGCCCCCTTTGCTTGCCAGATGAAGTCACTTTGTGTGTGGCACACTCAGCTGGATCCGTCCTGAGCTGTTTCGACCCAGGACGTCAAACACACGGCAAGCCTGCGCACATCACGAGCAGGCCTGGAAACCACGAAGCAAAGTTCTTTCTGAGCTTCTTGAGCGGAAACATGCAGCTTAGCTTGGCTACAAAGTTCCGGCTTTGTGACTTTTTCCATGGAAGACCGGAACGGAAACGTTTGAACATGTGCTTTAGAGTCTTAGAGAGTTGCCTAGGGCGGCACCTGCGGTGCCCCGGTGTTCAGGTTCAGGACCCGGCCCCTTCGTCCCATGAGGCTGCTAGCTTTCAAGTTCAAGACGGGCATAGGAGCCGGGGGGGTCACCGGGCTGATCGGTTCCGTGCCAGGGTCGTCGGTTGTTCCCACACTCTCCGTCTGCAGAGATGTGATCCTTGGCCTGCGAAACATCTCCATGGAGCTGCGCGTGCCCGAATCACTGGAAAGGTCCAAGCTGTCGTTCCTTACTGCCGCGGTCTGAAATGCATCCAGAGGAACCTCGTCCGGAAGGTCTCCGAGCAAGCTATAGAGATTCTCCCAGGAGAAATGGTCTGAGCGAATTGAGTCGAGGTAGTCCTGATACCGGTTCCTCGAGCGTGTTCGAGACCGAGGGGATGGCACGTCGTACTGCACGTCCGCTCCCACAACATGAACCTCCCACCATTGAAGCCGCGCGTGGCGAAGCTGAGACTCTTCTTCAGCTTCAGCGGACAAGTCAGTCGAGAGCGGCGTATGTTCAAGCACAGGCGTCTCTGCATCGGCGGCATGGGTTGGAGCCATCATGTCCGCCTCGGTAATCATGAAGCTGAACTGGTCCTGGAACGTCTTGGGCGTGACGGAATCTTGCGAAGTGAATGACTGCTTCTGCCAGAAATGAGCCATGAGGCCACTGCAGTAAGGAATTGAGCCCACATCCCAAACCGATGTGCTGGGCAGCACCTTCATGCAAGTTTGCACCATGATGCCATGAGACACCACGATCAAGTTCTTGTTCCCGCGACGGCTTCTGCTCAAGTATCGCAGAAACCGTCGCGCGTAGCGCTGCCGTGCGGCCGGGATCCGCTCCCCCCATTTGGGGGCCGAACCTAGCACCCTCTGCCAACAAACACGGCGAGCTGGAGCCGTGGAGAAGCTCTTCTCCAGCTTTGGCTCCCAGGCTTCCAGGGCCTTGTGTAGCTCGTGTCGCGAGCGCCATGCACGAGGGCGTGCACCTAACTCTCCGAAGATGTCTGGGCCGAAGACTTCGCCCAATTCTTGGTCGAGGAGGACCACCAGATCCAACTCATCAGCTATGGCTACGGCCGTCTGGACACAGCGTAGATATGGCGAGGAAACGACGATTCCATAGTCGCCAAAATCACGGAGTGTGCGTGCCACCTCCCTGGCGGTCCTCACGCCCTCGTCAGTGATTGGACAATCTCCGGGATATTTCGCTGCGTCCTCCGTCTGATGCCAGCCGGAATCGAAAACGGCATCCTGGCGCTCACCGTGCCGAAGGACGGCCACAGAGGCCTGAGGGCGGTAAGCCGTCTCTGCACCTTCCACCTCGAGATGCAGTGCTGGCAAGTCCTGGCCGGCCTCATCAGTCGGGCTCGAAGAAGAGGCCATCGACATCTTGAGCTCCTCGGCGATTGAAGCCAAACTTCTCGCCGGCATGGGCTTAGTCTCGGCCGGCCCCTCGGACTGAAGCTGCACGAGCTGCATCCAAGATCTCCGCTCGCGATCCTCGTCGCGATTCCAGGACCGAAGTTGCTCCATGCTCTGTGCGTTGGCCTGGCTCCTTTCTACCGCAGCCCAGACCGTGCGAACCACGGAAGCATGACCCCAGGAGTGTAAGATCAGCAGCAGCACTTCGCCAATCATGAACTGGTAGAGCGTCGCGGGATGCAGCCTCCAGCCCGGGATCATGCCTTCCAACCAGGAGAGGTATATACAACAAAGGATCACGGCCACGCACATGACGGTGGGGTGCACATGGGAAAGGGAGAGGACGAACAATGCTTCAACCAGTCCCACCCCCGCGATCGGCGCAGAGAAAATGGCAAAGGCCGGAAGACTGTGCAGGCACGTGTTGTTAAGCATCCACACGTGCAGCGCAAAACTCATCGCCGAAGGGGCAAGCGCGCATGCCAGAAGAGGCAGATCCTTCGTCAGGGCATAGCCCAGAAAGCCGACCCGTCGCAGAAACGAAGTGATGAAACCTGTCATGACAATCACCAGCAAGCTGAGGGCGCCATGACTCAAGTCTTGCTGCAGCATGGCCGGAACAACATGGCAAGTCCCGCTGGCCGGCGTCTGCACAAACCTCACAGCGACGTCCACATACACCATATGGCTGCCCCAAAGAATTATGCAGCAAATGATGGCCGCCGGGATGTTCCTGGAAGACAGGGGAGAGTCCGTCACACACTCATGCATCGACCTTGTCCACCACCGCCAGAAGCTAGACTGCCCCTCGTCGAGAAGCAGTTGCTCTGCTCTTTCTCTGAAGCTGGTGTGCCCACTCTCAGGGACCACTTGCCCAGTCTTGATGGCATAGATTTTGGAGGTGAAGCTGAAGAGGTACCAGCACCAGATGGCTGCTGGATATGCGCACAACACCAAAAACCTCTGCAACGATTCGTTCGCAAGGAGACCAGGTTCGTGCCACGACCGATTCATGAGGAAGTCCTCCGGGAAAGTTGCAAGAGATCCCCACATCTGGAAGGCAACTGCAACAGAAAGGCTCAGAGGATGCAGCTTGAGAGTCATGAGCAGCATAAGCTGGACTCGCCAATACAGCCGCCACGTTGGGACGTGCTCTGGGACCCCGTGTCGACATAGTTGATCCATCGCTGCACACATGAGCAATGCACTCGCGGCTTCCACTTTCAATGCGTGCACACGGTATATGCTTGGCCAAAACAGGAGCAACGCCAGAATTAAGATGGCCAGACCTGGGAGTTTCCGAAAGTAGGGGACCCTAATATAGTACCCCAAATAGTAGGATCCTTAATCTAAGGAGCCCAAGGTAAGGTACCCCTAATTTTCTGAAACTCCCACCTAGTCGAACGTTGGCCACCGTTCTGTCTTGATCCTTGCATCTGCCATCCCAGTGGACGTAGAGCCAGTGGTCCACAGCCCAGTATATGTTGTAGATATTCAGAATCTTCGGGAGAGACTGCCGTTCCAGGAAGGGGCTTGTGAGCAGCATGGGGTCGGTCGTGTCTCTCCACCAAGTTCGACATGATCTGCCTGCAGCCCGTAGGCGTTCCATGGCACTCAGAAGTGGTCGAGACTAAGCAACAGTGCAATCGCTTCGTGGCTTGTGGGGTCAGGGCTGGGATCACAAAGTGCCAGAGGCAAACATGCGATCATACCTTGCGGCAAGATGGCTGCGAGCGTAGGGCTTACAGACTTCTCACGTCGGACTGGAACACATCTCCACCAGCGTGCTGATCATATGACGGGACTTGAACGCATCAGCAGCAGCAGCAGCACCAGCACCAGCACCCGCACCAGCACCAGCACCCGCACCCGCACCAGCAGCAGCAGAAGCAGCAGCAACAGCAACAGGAACAGCAACAGCAACAGCAACAGCAACAGCTACAGCTACAGCTACAGCAACAAACAAACACACATACACACACCAGTACTTACCAACGCACAAACAAACAAGACCAGCGGCAGCAGCAACAACAGCAACCACAGCAACGACAGACACCACAGCAGCCACAGCCACAACAACTACAACAACCGCAACGACAACGACAAGGATCATCACAACAACAGCAACCACAACAAAAACAAGCATGAGTTGCAATTTAAGGTGCAAAACACAACAGATTGGAGAGGGCACTCCAGGATGAAGGATCCAGTTTCCCATAACCGTTTGACGTCCGACGAGCTTGCGCAACTTGGAATGAGATTTCTCTGACGGGTTTGAGGCATTGTACGCTCAAACTCGGACTTGGGGGTTGTCGTTTGGCAGGTTGAGAGGCTGAGGCTTTGGGATTTGTGGCGAAAGGTGCTTGGGACAATTACGCGGTTTCGGAGTGGCATCGCAAGCATACCTTGCAGTAGCTATGTGACTTTCTCTACCTCAGCAAGACCTGCACGAAGCACCAAAACACTAAACCCTAAACCTTGACAAAGGATCTCTCGCACCTAACGCGACGTACTCCTGCAACGAGCCAACACATGGCCGTGGCCGTTTCGCGTCGACCGAACGAGGCATTCATAATTCGAATAGGGCTTCTCTAAACGGGTCTAAAAGGATTGCTATAAGGGTCTAGGCCAAACGAGGCTTAGTGAGGGAGGCTTAGTGCAAACAAACACTACCATTTTCCCAGTTGGATCTGGTATGGAAGAAATGCTGCATGGCCCAACGCTTTTCGCATAGATCCTGCGAGATCTCATGGTTGCTTGCAGCAATGTCTTAAGTGACAGCTTGCCGAGGCGAAAGCGAACTGCTCGAAAAAGATCATGCACACGAACCACAGCATGGTCTTCCAGACTTCCAGAACCCAATATCCACAAGCATGGTCCGACAATGACACTTCTTTCCTCTCTCGCTCTCCCTCTCTCTCTCTCTCTCTCTCTGTCTCTCTCTCTTTGCTTTGCTTTGCTCAGGGCTTGAGGCGGGTGCAGTCCACCCGCCCCGCGCGAGGGCGCTGCCCCATCCACTATTTTCGGTGGATGGGCTCGGCTATACAAAAAGGGGGGTGCCCTGGTCTTCAGGGAGGTGAGCGGGTGCCCTTATGTGGGCAGCAAAAGACAAGTTTGGAGGCTGGGCCCCCGCTCCACCCAAAGATTGTTCTGCTTAGGGTCCCCTGGCTTAGCAGCAACAGCAAAGTAGGAACAGCGTACAGAAAACACTCGCGTAGCACGTAGGCAACAAGTTTGAGTACCACTGGTGCCCCCTAGCAGTATGTGCCCCTTTACCTTGGCCTGTACCCCCGCCTATCTTCCCTGCCTGAGCCCGAACTGAAACCTGATCCCTGCACGACACTGCCTGCGACCTTCCGCTCAGCCCTGAACCTTTGTGACAGCGGGTGCCCCCCCCCCCTTTCCTTTCTTCCTGGAACAAACGAATGACATGTGTTCACAGGGAGAGGCGGGCACGTGCGACTGTGAGACGTGTGGTGCCTCCGTGGGAGTAGTGGGTGCACCTCAGGAAACCTCCGAAAGCCTAGGTATAAGTAAAGCTGGTGCCCCACTTCCTCCGTTGGTGCTCCACTCGGCTCTACTGTACTGTAACCCAGACCTACCTGCCTAACCCTGCCTGAGCCCGAACTGAGGCCTGATCCCGCACTGCCTCCGACCTTCCACTCAGCCCTGAACCTCGGCTTCTGCTCTGGGCTACGACAAGGTGTGCCCCTGCTGTGCAAACGAAACTGGGTAGAGGTACCTGGTATAACAACACACGGGGCCAGCAGGGTGCCTTTAGTCGTCAGCCAGGGCTGCGTGAAGCCTACGCCGGCGGTGGCTCACTCTGCTTGCTGAGCTCAGGTCTTCTTCCGGCGAGTGCTCCCGACGTCGGTGAGGTAGTGCCCCTGGGCCCTGGTCGTACATGTAGTTCAGCTGGTCCACGTAGTCCGGCGAGAGTGCGTGCCACGGAAGTGTGGCTTCCATGTCGTCATCTTGAGTCGCCAGGGTGGTGGGTGCGCAGTGGGTCGTCTCCGGTGCACCAGCTTGGTCGCCGCTTTGTCCCTGCCTTGCCAGGAGACTGGGTGCCCCCGGCACTTGCTGGGCTGTTCCATCTTCTGGTAGTAGGGCTCGTTGGTGTGGTAGTCCTTGGTCGTCGCCGGCTAGTGGCTGCGCTGGTCCTTCGCCTTGTGGTGGAGCTTGTTGTGGTAGTAGTTCTGGGTCGGCGTTCGGAGCAGGCTTATCCCCGGCTGGTTCTCCCCCGACGTTGGACGCGCAGTGGCCGTCTGGTAGTAGAGCTCGCTGGTGTGGTAGTTCGCGGTCGTGTTGTACTGGTGCCATGGCGGGTCCCTCTCCCTGTGGTAGAGCTTGTTGTAGGTGAGGTCTTGGGTCGGTCCCTGCGGGTTGTCCTTGGCTGTGGTCCGCGAGGGTGGTCGCCTCGGAGTTGTTGCTGTCCTCTGGCACCACTTGGACGGGTGTCCCAAAGAATTGTGTGCATCTTGCAAGGTCGCGGATGGCTGTGCCCACCATGTCGTGTAGCTGTCCGTACAGGAAGGGCTGGAGACGTCGCAGCGTGTATAGTGCTTGTAGTGGTAGTTCAGGTTGCTGGTCCTCCCTTTGGGGGGAGCTGTGTTCTCCACCAGCGTGTGCCACCACGTCAGCTTGGTGTGGCTCTCGGGTCCTCCTTGTCTTTTTTGGAGGCGAGCCAGTCAGCTGGTGGCGTAGCTCTTCGCCTGGTTCTCCCCATGCTTCTGCGTGTGCCGCCGAGGCCTCCTCGCAGAGGTGCACCACTCTGTCCAGGCTGTCGTAGAAGTGGTCTGGTACCTGCTGCTGTCCTTCCGTGGCCTGGAGGACGTTCTGGAGTAGTTCCTCTGCCCTCTCGGCGTAGTCTTCACCACGGTGTACTGCCCCCCAGTTGCGGGCCTGCTTGTGTGAGTGGAAGCGTTGGGTTCCTTCCCGAAGAAGGCGGTCCACTTCTTTGAGGTCTTGCACTATGGCTGCCGTGGGGGTGTGGCTGCCTGTGGCTTCCACTGCGGAGAGCAGGTCGAGCTGTAGCTGCAGGAGGTGTGCCGCGGTGTGGTGTGGATTCGGTGGTGGTGGGCTAGTGTTTGTGGACGGTAGTAGTGGTTGTGGTGGTGGTGCCTGGCTGCTGCTGGCGGGTGTTTGCTGGGTGTGTGTCTCTTCGGGCTGTAGGGCAGTGAGTGCCTGCTGCGCGTAGGCTTGTACCTCTCCTGGATGTGTTGTGTCCAGGATGCGAAGAAGACATCTCCTTGCTTCTGCCATGGCTGCTGTTGCTTCGGCTGTTGTTGGTGCCCGGTATCGCCTAGCACCACGTTGCATGAGGTCAAGGTGGGGAGAGGGTCCGTGGCTCGGCCAGGAGGTTTCGCTCAGATCTCCTGGGTCTTGCTCCGTGGCTGGTGGCCCCTGTGGAGGGTGAATGCCCGGTGGCGGGGCCTTGGAGCGTGCGGGCTCGCTGGGCACTTGTTCTGGCTGTGGTTGGGGTGCTTGTTCCTGTTGGTGGGTGTCGCTGTGCTGGTCGTGGTGGAGGTTGGTGCCTCGTCTGGTGGTTGTTGTGGTTGTCCTGCTGGGCTGCTTTGGGAAGCAGGCGTAGGCAAGTCTATGGAGTACCCTCCAAAGCGGAGGAGGTACTCGTCTCGCCATGGATGCCATTGCCACTGCTGCCTCGTCCAGATAAGGAGTAAGTGCTCCCCCTTCTGGTACCTGAGTGCTCCCTGGCTCACGGCCCTTGGAGCGTCCACCACCCGTACATGCCAGGCCTCAGGCTCCCTGCGGCGCAATCTTCCCAGCGGGCGCAAGAAGAACGCAGTCCCTAGCCCGATGAATTGGTCCATCGTGGGTACGTTGTGCGCCTGTGTGCCTCGGGTTGTCTGGTGGGTTTTCAGCCACCATGTGCCGAACCGACCCCATGAGCCATATGCCGGCCGCTTCAGCATGGGCCAGGTTGGCCACAATTGGCCCCACTGGTAGGGCTGGAGGCAAGGTGTCTGGGAGCCAGGACTGGTCGGTGGGTCGGCGGAGCAAGTAGGTTTGGTGCCCCTCTGTCCAGGTGACGTCGTAGGTAGGGGGGTGTTCGCTGCTGTCTTCTTCTCCTGCGGTTGCTGCTGCTGCGTCTGGTTGCAGTGGTGGTTGTGTCTGTGGTTGGGCCTGTGGTTGTGGTTGTGGTGCTTGTGGGTCGCCGTTGTTGTTGTTGGCCGTGGGTTGCCCACTCTGTGGTGGTGGATGTCGTTGCGGGAGCTGGGGTTCGGAGTTCCCTGCTTCAGCGGCTTGTTGGTCGGTCTGTTGTGTGTGTGGAGGTGCAGGGCTGCTGCCTGCTGTCGTGCCATGGTCCCTCTGCTGGCGCTCCTCGTGTAGGCGCCGGGCTTCTGTGTCTTGCTTTGTGCCCCCTGGCTGTGTCGCTGTGTCTCCCGTGTTGGGAGGGTGGATGGTGGAGGCCGGTATGTCGAAGGCGGCGGCTGTGTCCGTGGCTGTGGCGGTGGCAGGGGCTGTGGCTGTCGCTGCCGGTGGCGTGGCTTGCTTGGGAGGTCTCTGTGGTTGTTGCGCGTGTGCCGCCAGAGCTGGGTCTGCGGTGCCTCCTGCGGCAGCGACGCGTATCTCCTCCTGCTGGAGCCTATCCTGGTATTGCTGCTCGGCTGCTGTGTGTTGCTTGGTGCCATGGGTTGGTCCACCCCCTTGGGTGGCGGCTGCGGCTCTGGCTGTGGTGGCTTGTGAGGTGTCAGACTGGCTGCCCGGCGTCGGTGGTTGCAAAGGCTCCTCTCCCCTCATCCATGCGTCGGCTTTTTGGAGGAGTTCATGTATGTGAGTGGGAGGGGCTGGGGAGGTAGGTTGTTGGTACCAGTACCTCCAAAGGATCGGTTCAGCATCGATCCAGCTCATGGCATTGGGCTTGTGGAGGTTGTGCTTCAGGAACATGGATTTGATCCATTCCTTTCTGTCGCGGGTTGCTTGCCTCTGTGGCCCTCTTCCACCTCCTTGGCTGTGCTGGTGGTGCTGATTGTGTTGCGGTCCGCTGGCGGGGTCGGTGTCGTCTTGGGCCTGCTGTTGTTGTGGGGCGTGTGTCGCCGCGGGTTGCGTGGGGGTGTTGCTGTGCAAGTAGGTGGCTCTTGAGAGGGCGTCCCAGGTGGCTGCCGTATTTGCTGCTGCTGGGTCAGTGGGTGGCACCTGCTGTGCCGGTAACGGGGGTTCCGCCCAATGGGTTGTGGCTTCCGCCGGGTCTGCTGTCCACGGTGAGGGTTGCTTTGGGTCGGCGGTGTCAGTGGCAGATGTGGTGTGCGGGGGGACCGCCCATTGTTGGGCAGCTTGCCCTGTGGTGCCGACGCTCTCTGAGTGGTTGTGTAGGTGTGGGCTGTTGTTGTGGTAGTGGCTGTGGTGAGCTGCGGGCAGGCTTGTCGGCGGGCTGGTGTGGTAGCAGTGCCGGTTGCATGCTCGGTCGTAGTGGTTGGGGTGGCTGCTGTGGCGGTGGGTCCACCGTGGCGCGGTGGGGAGCATGCCGGCTCCTTGCTGGTGGGTAGAAGGTTTGTGTAGCACTGACCTCCCCGTCGGTGGTGGCTGTGGGGCTGCTGCTTGCCTCTGTCTGCGCTGCGGCTGCTTGGGCTGGTGTGTCTTGTGGTGGGCTGTCGTAGGCAGTGGTTTGGTCTGTCCATTCCCCTGCTGCGCCGCTGGTTGCTGCATGGTGGGCCTGCGTGTTGCTGCTGACCGTCGCTGCACTGGACGGCTGGTCGTCTTCTGGTGTCGTCGTCGTCGGATTGGGAAGCTCTTCGGCCGCCCTTGTTTCCCCGAGCTGCCTCGGCCTGCTTTGGCCGGTCTGCGCTGGTGTCCCCAGCTTGGGATCTCCCATTCTCGTAGTAGGGGCTGCTTGGGTGCCCCCGTACTCGTAGAGGCGGTAGCCCATCCATAGAGCCACCAAGAAAACGAACTTCATGGTGGTCTGCAGGCAGGCTGGTACTGCTTAGGCAGGTGCTCTCAGAGTGCACTTCGAGCTGTAGAGCAGCGGGCACTGAAAGCTGAGGTTCCCGCTGCAGGCATGTGCACATCACTGGCAGAAAAACAAGTACATGACTGTCATGACATGGAACTGGTACTCTGGCAAAAGGTGAGGTCTCTCTCCTTGTTCCCTCTGTATCGGTTGTTGTCTCCTGTTCGCAAAGTGGCAGTAGTGAAGCTGTGTCCGGTTGCGTGAAACACTGTGAAACCATGTGCTGGTGGTGTAGCTGAATGTGTGGCTGTCGCGAAATTGGGAAGAAGGGGCCGAGGGGCGAGTTGGTGCTTGGGGTCACTGTATGTCTGGCCGGATCAGCCTTCATTCGCAATGGCCCGGGCTCTCCTCCGACCGGTTCTTCGTTTGGCATTGGGGGCAAGGTTGGTGAGTGCCGGCTGTTTACCGGTGGCCCAGGGGATGTCATGTTTGGCCAAGAAGGGCTCCAGGCGTTGTTCCCAATTTGCTCTGTCTTGTGCCACGACCCACCACTTAGTCGATCCGGCGTTGTTGCAGATGTGTCGCTCTACATCCATGTGGGGGTTGAACTGGCCAGCGTGCCGTGCACCGACTGCCGGTGACTTGCGTTGTTCTGAGGCCCAGAAATCCATGCCTCTCCACGTCAGGAGCTCAAGTGTGGTGCGATCTGGGGCCCGTCCGATGTGGCCCCATAGTCGCCATACTGCTTCAAGTGCTCGGGTGCTCCATCTGGAGCATTCATGCTTGTGCAGTATCAGTCTGGCCTGTCTGAGTGTCCTCATGTTCCAGGTGACCCAGTCTTCTCCCGGGCGTCTGGGCATCTGCAGCATGGTCCGCACTTGCTGCAACTGGATGCTGTTGGCGCACTTGAGTAAGCTTTCGTGTAGCGGCCACGTGGGTGCCCCCCATAAGGCTGATTCTCGGACTATGGCCGAGTGCACCTTGAGTCGACTTGCGATCGGCGTGTCCGCGCAGAGCGTCTTCCGGTTGGCAAAGAAAGCCTTGCGAGCGCGGGACGAAAGCTCTGCTGCCAGGATGGCGGATCCGCCCGCGAAAGAGACGGGTGACCCAAGCACCGTGAGCGCATGGTCTGGTCCCTCCGTTTTGACTGCATGTCCTCCGACTGTAAACACGTGTTCTCCTTCGTTGGCAATGGCGCAGGTCTTCTTGTGGTTCACGTAGAGCCCGTGTTCCGCAAAGAGTTTTTCAAGTAGGTCGACCACTTGCTGAACGTGTCGGGGATTTTCCCCCCAAACGTAGACGTCGTCCATGTACCCGGAGGTGTGCTGCGGCGGCGGGGGCAACTTTTCGTTGGGTCCCCAAGCGCTGATGGTCACCTTCGATTGAACCTGAAGGAGGGTGTCCCCCACCAGGGCGCTAAAAGCGACTGGCGAGTCTGGTCCTCCCTGGCGAACGCCGTTGCTTTGGGTTATCTTTATGCTGGTGCCACCGAACTGGATGTTCATCTCCGTGGCGTGCAGAAGGGACAACCAAATACGAGCCTCCCAGGGGTACCCGTGTTCTCCAATGTGCTTTTGCACGAGCCGTCCCATGCTGGTCTGAGTGGCGGAGTCGAACGCCTTCTTCACGTCGATTTTTATCAAGTAAAAGGGTCCACCCCAATCTCGTGCCATCCTTGCTATCTTCCGAATGACGCGCAGCATCTCGACAGACTGTCTGCCCTTAGCGCACCATTGGAGTTTACAGATTGGGTCGAAGAGGTGTTGGGTGCGGTAGAGGACGAGCTGCGCAATCCACTTCAACATTGCCGATGACACCGTTATTGGGCGTGTGTCTGGCCAGCCATCGGGTGCCCCGGTTTTGGGGAGCAGCACCGTTACTCCTTTTTCGAGGAGCTCTGGAAGTGTGCCTCGGTAGAAGGCGTCATTGATCACGTAAAGGATTCTGTGCATCCACTTGTCGTTCTGCATGAGGACTGAGAGGGCCTCGTGAATGATGCCGTCGGGTCCTGCTGATTTTCGCCGTGGCCATCGACCTTGGGTGACCTGGAGCTCAGTGACCGTGAAAGGGTGCCATGTCGTGGTTTTACAGAGTCGGGTCAGCTCGTGCCGCATGGTGTGCATCTGGGACGTCACGGCCCTAGGGTCCTCCTTATAGAAGATGCCCTCGAAGTGTTGTTTCATGGTGTCCTGCCAGTGCTCGTCGTCAAGGAGGTAGTGCTCCCATTCCCGTGTGCGGGCTAGTTGTTTTTGCGCTCGATATGCCCGCCAGTCCTTTTTGCTGGCCGCCTCGTTGAGCTTGGTATGCCACCGCTTGAGTTCTTGGCGATGGAGGCATTGAACTTCTTTCCAGACACGCCTTCTTTCAATGCCAGGTGGGGTGTGTTGCGCCAGTCTCCGCTTGGTCTTGAGCTCGGCACTCTCAGCGAACTTGTCCATAGCCCGACCAGGGTTGGTCATGTCCTTGCATATCGCTGCGATGGCGTGGTGTCCATCTCCTTGAGGATAGGTCCTGGAAAGGCATACGTCAAAGTTCTTGGCGAGGTGCCTCGGGCCCCAGTGTTTGTGGTAGGTCTTGTCCCGGGTGGCATGTGGAAGCGCGCCGACAATGGGTTCATGGTCGGAATGTGCTCGGTCGCGGTGGTCACCTACATGTACTCCCTGAAGGTGTATCCCTCTCGACACAAGGTAGTCGAGTCGTCGTGGGCGTTGGCCAGAATACGGGAAGTGCGACGGTTCGTGCAGTTGCTGCTCCGGGAATTTGCAGTGGATATCGGCGATCCAGTCGAGGATGACGTCCCCCCTCCCGGAGGTGCCTTTAGGAAACGCTGGTGTGCACTCGCTGTAGAGGAAGACCTCGTTAGCGTCCAACCCGATGATGAGCTTGTTCTGCGTGAGGGCTTCACATTGGAGCCAGTCCGCCAGAATGGCGGAGGTCTCGTCCATTGTGGCGTGGTGCGGTATATGACCGCAAAGAACGCCCCACTTGTGTGTGCCACGAGTCAGAACGACAGAGCTGCCCCTTGGGTGAATGGTGGCCTTGTGATGATTGTAGTCTTTAAAGGCGATCGCGGTTCCTCTCCACTCTCCTGCCTTTTTTCCGCTGACCAAGGTCCACGTGCCATCGTCTTCAAAGAAGATGCCCGCCTCCACGATTATTTCCTGGAGCAGGACCACGGTAAGCTGACAGAGTGGCGGGTTACCCGCAGAAAAGGTTGTGTGCCCCTTGAAAGCCTTCAGGAATTCCAACACCTTAGGTGGCGTCATTCCTCCAACATTCCAGGTAGCAACCAGTGCGTGCTCCTTGGCTTCTTTCGCCGCCAAGGCGTGAAACGGGTCGCCCATGTTCTGGGCCTCCTCCTCAAATCACTTGAGTGCACTGGCCAGTTGCTGCCAGTGCGTCTTGACTCTCCCCACATCCACATGAATCTTCGCCGAGATGGTGGGGAGGTCGATCCAGCCTTGTGTGCCCGTGGTTGTCGACTGGCTGGGTGCCCCCAGATTGATGGCTGAGGCCACTCGTACGGACTTGAACCACACTTGTCCGGTCGAGTACTCCGTGTCGATGTCTTGGGGGAGTGCTCCGAGTTCAAGTAGGAGTCGCTTGCATTTAGCAGCCACCTGAACTTTCCGCCTCTTCTCTGGTGGCTGCGAGATGTTCAGCCAGAGGTGCGATGGCGTGCCGTCTTGGCGGGTGCCCACCGAGATGTTGGCGTTGCGGATGTGTCGGATGCAGGACTGGACTCGAGCACGTTGATCTTCCTCACTCTCGGTGTCCCTCTTGATCAAAGGGATGATGCAGTATCCCCTCCTGACCCCTGGTACGAATGTGCCTTGGGTGTCCAGGTCGAGGCGGAGGGTTTCCACATACTTTTTGGCTTGCTCGATCACTTTTTCAGCTTCGGTGTCGGGGTGGAACCCACCCATGATCAGAGCGGGTCCTCGTGGGCGAGTGCCCTCCGGATTTGCTGTGTCTCCTTGTTCGAGCTTCGCAAGTCGGGTCTCCAAACTCTCCATGCGGTCTTGCACCTGGGAGATTTTATCCTTGTTGGCTTCGGTCTCAAGCGACATGTTGTGTATGCGCATGGTGGTGTCGGCAAGTTGGGCCTGAACATTCTGCTCAAAGGTGCCCACTCTCTCATTCATCTGTCCCACAGCCATGCTGAGTTCCCCTCGGAGAAGGTCTCGGATAGCTTCAAGGGTGACCCCTTGCCCCGCTTCGGTACGCCCCCTCTTGGGAGAAGTGATGTCTAGCAGGTCTCGATGGTCTCCTCCACTTCCGGTCGCTGCTGTTGATGCCCCTGGCGAGGCCGGGTCGAGCTGCATGGGCCCGGCTAGCGCTCCAAAGGTATGCGCTGGTGTGGTAGTCATTGCAAAGATTGCGAGGTCGCCGAACTGCAAAAAGTGTTCGATCGCGACGTTGTTGGTCTCCCTCACCCAGCACTCTCCTTGCGGCGGGTCGCAAGGGTGTGGTAGTCCCCCGCCCAGCCTGGATGGTGCGCCTAATCGGCCGGTTGCGGTAGTTCACCTGTAGGGTCGCCGAGTGCCCCCGGCTCGTTGCTGACTTTCTCCCGAAGGGTCCGCACAAACTTATCGGTCAAGTCTGACCCCGACTATGTCGCCTCCGTCAAGGTCGAAGATGGAGACGCAAAGGGCAGCAAAGTGGTAGTGGAGGTCGCAAGTATGCGGACAAGGCCGGGTCTCTCACTCAGAACGCCCGGGTTGAGGCCCTTCTCTCTCAGGGGCTCAGGCCTTGAACCGCTCACGGCTTGAGCCAAAATGGTCTCTCTCTCTCTCTCTCTCTCTCTCTCTTTTTCTTTCTTTTTCTTTCTTTCGCCAGGGCTATGCTCTCTCTCTCTCTCTCTCTCTCTTATTCCTTTTTTCCCATCTCTGTCTTCTTCTTACAGGTCTTAAGCAGGGCGATCCTTTCGTAACCCTCCCTGCGTCGATCTCTCTCTCTCTCTCTCTCACACGGGCCGCCATCTATCCGGCATCTGAAGGTCTGAATGGACCCGTTAGCAGGATGGCAACCATGCCGCGAGCGCCAGCGGATAGCTTTGATCCTCACACGGACTCTTTTAAGCCGGCCCTTGGGCTTAGCTTGTCCTCACATTGACTTCTACACTTGTGATTCTGACGGCATTGCAATGACATGACTAGACGAGGTTTTCATGCTGTCTGGCCCATGGAAACCCTTCGCACGCTCCTGGGTGCTGCCACGTTTGACGCGTCCAAGACGGATCCGCTAATCTGGCAACGAAGCTGACAATCCAACATGAGCGGTAGCACCACTACTCCAACACGCAAAGCCACAATGGCAGCAGCGGCAGCATTAGTATTTAGCGGCAGTCAAGCGCGCGTAGTAGGCGCCGCCGTTGTCGACTTTGTGTGCAGAAGCATGGCAAGTTAGTCGTAGCAGTAGTTGTAGTAGTAGTCGTCGTCGGGGTGGTGGTAGTGGTAGTGGTCGTGAAAAGTTGTGGTCGTGAAACGTTGTAGTCGCGGTCGTGGTAGTGGTGGTAGTAGTAGCAGCAGTTGTCGTAGTAGCAGGAGGAGGAGTAGGAGTAGTATAGGGGGAGTAGTAGTAGTAGTAGTAGTAGTAGTAGTAGTAGTAGTAGTAGTAGTAGTAGTAGTAGTAGTAGTAGTAGTAGTAGTAGTCTTAGTAGTAGTCTTAGTAGTAGTCTTAGTAGTAGTAGTAGTAGTAGTAGCAGTAGTAGTAGTAGTAGGAGTAGGAGTAGGAGTAGGAGTAGGAGTAGGAGTAGGGAGTAGGAGTAGGAGTAGTAGCAGTAGCAGCAGTAGTAGTAGTAGTAGCAGCAGCAGCAGCAGCAGTAGTAGTAGTACTTAGTAGTAGTAGTAGTAGTAGTAGTAGTAGTAGCAGCAGCAGTAGTTGCTGCTGTACCACACAACAGCGAACAGCAGCGGCAGCAGCAGTACAAGAACCAGCAAACGGAAACGCAGAATAAAGACAGAAAGAACCACAAGCAGCAGCAACAGCAGCGGAAGCAATCGCGAAAAGAAACAGCGGGTTGTCCTCATGCTAAAACACATACGAAAGGTCGATTTGGCGTCTTCACTTGCATCTCGTTTTCTTTCAACAGTATCGTCAGCAGCATCATGCCCAAGGGTTTTCCAGAATATTCATCACCACAACCATGATCATCAGCAACACTTTCTTCACCTACATCAAATAAGCAAGAACTCCATGGGCAACAAACACAGCAGAATTGCTCTGTAAACAGCCAGACATTGCACCTCTCACCTTCCGCCCCTTTGCATCCTGCCGGCACCCTTACTTTCCCTCGGATTTTGGATAGTTTTGGGCCCAGGTCCCAGGGTCTTCAAAACTTACCAGGCGGCTTGGAACATCAAAGCTCAGAACTTAACAAAAAACATCGAGCTCGGTAATTCAAGCGGCCTGAATGATTCGAGAAGGGCTTATCGTACACTATTACTATAGTCTATAGTTATGATAACTCTGAAGCATGACAGATCCACCACGCTCACAGCTCAAAGATCATCACAGGGAGCAGCATGCGGCCTTGCCGACTTCTGCTTTCTTCGCCAAGTCGGCGAGGGCAATTCCCCCCTGGCCAGGACGAAGTTTTGCAGCTGTGTCAATGCTCTGAGGCGGTTTAGGGTTTTTCCCCTCCTACTTCGCAAGCGGATGCAAGCGGATTAGGGTTTGGGTTTCGGTTTCGGTGCTCACACTAGGGTTTAGGAGAAGCTACCGTGCAATTTTGCAGCGTTGGGGGATGAAATCTTCGACTAAGGCGTGGCGAGGAAGGCTTGTTTCGGGAAGCATCTGGGCTGCCCTGCCTGGATAACTGCCAAAAGAGCATGATGACCATCAAACGTGGGTACCAAACCCTAGACTCTTAAGCCCAACAACCCCCTAGAAATCCGCGAGCGCTGGGCCCGTAAACCAGCCAAACCCTCTTCTCACGGCAGGAGAGAAACAGTTGGAAACGGATTGTGCCGGCTTTCGTGCTTCATACTCGGTAGTACGGGAGGCTCCCAAACCTGATGAGCTTTTGCTCTTTGCTACGGCTCGCGGCGTTTGGCTGAACATGTCGTGGTGTCTTGCCCCAGCGCCCGCAATCGCACATTTGCGCAACGAAAGGACCACCACCTGTAATGGGATCCCGAAACACTGCATTTTCCACAGTTGACACAGGAGCCCCACTACTTTCCTGTAAAAGGCTCGAAGATTACGGGCGAAAGGCAAGCTCGAATGTTTCCCCTCGCCACCATCCGGCTAAATGAATGAACTGGCAGTGCTGGCACAAGTTGCTTGAGGAAAGCCTACTGGGAGCGCAGAAACATGAAGCGAAGGCAAGAAGATCAAGCCAAAAGCAAAAGCCTACGCGACGCATGCAGCTACAGAACCCGCTTTGACACAGGCTTGTGGGATCTCAAACGGGGAATGCCGATGCTCTCGTGTGCTAAGAAGCACGACAAATGGAGGGCACTCGCTAACAAAACCTTGCAGATCAGGCTTCAATCACATCCTACTCCCTAGACCCAGAACCCAGGACCCAAAACCTCAAACCGCAAACCCCAAACCCAGAAAAAACACCACGACCCTAAGTCCGTGAGAAGCGGCCTCAAGACAGATCTCCGAAAGCTCAAGGATCTCAGCCTCCGTCGGAACCTTGGAGTGGAAACACCCAACTCTCCCAGGTAATTAGACTGACCTTCCTTTAAATTTAGGGCCCTTTAGGGGTCCTCAAGGGTTGTTCGTAAGGGCTACTATCAGCATGGGAGTTTCGGAAACCAGGGAACCATAAATTTACAATATGGAGCTGAGCAATGGAATCCGCAACTTTAGGAAACCGACATGAGGCTAAGGTCTCTCTCTCTCCCCCAGCGCTACAAAACATGCGCAGCTGCGAACATCCGCTGTCTCCCTGGCCCTAATTTTGGAAGAGACTCCCAACATGGTCGTGCGGAGGCTTTGTACCGGTATTCTGCAATCATGCGTTCCTCTCCAAACGGGTGCTATCGCCGAAACCTGAGACGGTCTCCGGTTTGGAAACAGGCTGCTATATCGAACCCGAAGCCGGAGGAACAAAAAGTAGGCTGGCAACATGAAAACCTGCAAGTAAGAGCTGAAACAGGATACACGCCGAAAAAACTCCCCTCAGGAACTGTCCTCAAGACTACCACCTTCTGCCCAGGCCCACAGCAGAAGGACTAAGGGAGCGCCCGGCTCGTGCGCATGACAAACAGCCCTGTGTAGACTCCTCATTAAGTCCTTGTCGTGCCCCTGTGCCTCATATGACAAACCCTATACGCCCCGTCTATCTACCTATATACCTATATCTCTCTATATATATATATATATATATGTGTGTGTGTGTGTGTGCAAATATCTGTGCGTGTGTCTGTACATATCTACATCTATATATACATACATATATATATATATATATGCATACACAAATATATATATATATATATATATGCTATCTATCTATATCAGACAGACAGATATATGCTTATATATGTATATAAATGTCACTATAAACCCCCTAGTAAAAGCCCTCGCCCCAAGCCCTGGCGTTTGGGGCAAGCACCGAATGAGTGTACTCTGAGCCGGCATCAGCGCTGAGGCAAGCTGTGGGCTCCTGTCAAAAAGGGTTAAAGGTTTGCCGTCTATTCTGCGTTTAAGGTAGGGTTTAGGGTTACTGTCAAAACGGTATGGACGCACACACTCGCACAAGGGTGGCATGGATTCCGGCATTGAGTCTTCCGAGCAGGTTTGCGGTCTATTCTGTGATTTAGGGGCCTTAACAGTTGTAAAAAGAGTTGGGGTTAGACTATGTGACCCGTACATGGAGTCCACAAGTCTTACGGTTTGTCATATCCGAATCCGAGGAGTAACAAGTATGCCACAATTCACAACGAAAGTCCGTCTCCTGGCACTCACGTGTTCTGCCGTTGCTGATGGCGCAAGGTTTCGCAAGTTTCGGGTTGTAATCTTAGGGGCTGAACCTGTAAGTAAGGCTACTCCCTCATAGGCCCTGCAAAACTAGGCTATCACTTACCCACCAAAACCCTATTGACATTATGAAGGTCCTTGCATTAGACATGCTAGGGCGACGGCATGTTCTTTGACATGTCTTGGTTCGCCTTGGCAGGGATCTTGGGCTCAGGGCTCATGTTGCACCTCGCTTGTTGCCCCGATCTGGCACGAAAACCTGAAAACAGGGCCGTAAACTTTCTTTAAGAATTAGAATCGGGACAGGTTATAGTATAAGCATGATGAGAGGAACCCCAAGGAGTAGTGCGCATTAGGTGCAAGCCATGGAAGACATGTCTGCTGCAGCATGTCGTATCCACCACCCCTCGCCGGTGCCTGCGCTGTAGCGCCCCTGCCATGGCGTGCGCACTTTCAACAACATTCCACGCGAACATCAAACACACCTCGAGGCTCCTCTACCCTACGTCATCCGGGGTTGGTAGATCCTTGAAAACCGTGGACCCAAGGCTCAAGTGGATCGCAAGCTCATCAGAAAAAAGCTCTCAGATCTTCTGCTCTCTTTGAGCAAGGGGCGTGTGGTTTCGCCGCGTGGCATCTCGGTGTCGTCCGTCCTCTCGTCTTATGTAGGGTCGTTAATGATTAGAACAGAGTTTTTGAAATCTGATAGTAGAAGTATGTGTAGCAATCAAAAATCAAAACTATTCCCGGAAGTTCCGAGGTGTAATGAAATTACCATCGCAATCCTTGGGCAGACAGTGTTGGGAGCTCTTCAGCCCCTGCGCGTAACACGTCGGAAAGTCGGGCCTAGGTCTGTCGGCGGGCTGCTGATGCTAATCGTTACGACCTCTATATTACCTCCCAATCCGATATGCCACGTCTTTGTCACCAAGCTCGTTGAAATAACAAGCTTGCTATAACGGCCTGAATGATTTTAACAGGGCTGTTGGGCAACTTAAACTACATGTTGACTGATTATGACCATATTCCTGTGCAGTCTGTTGGACCTGCGCGCCTCTCCCGATTTGCTGCGACATGTGATTGCTGACAACAACGGCAACCGGCTTGCGTTGAGGGTATTTTAAGATTTGGAGGAAGAGCCGTCAAATTTCGAATAACTCTAACGGTACATAAGGGTTCCTTCAAGGGGACTGTATGTGTACTAGAGGGAGTATAGGGGCCTTTAGTTACAATGACAATACGGTTCAGGGTGTTTTGTGGTTCTCCTATGTGAGGACTAGAACGGTCTACTAATTATTGCATGAAGGTGGTGAAGGCGTGGTCAGCAGCCCATCGTTCTAGCAAGGGTCTGTCAACATGCACTACACCCTAAACCTTAACTAAACCCTGAACCTTAATTAAGCCCTAAACCTTAATTTAAACCCTAAGCCGCTCTCCGAAAGAACTCGGTGCTTCGTGGCTCAAGGCTTTGAGCCTTTGATCTTCACCTCGTCGGATCCTCAAACATGAGACTAGAAAAGCCCTTCAACGAGTTGCCTTTTGCAATCTTCAAGCTTCTGTTGGAGGAGTCGCAGTACATGAAGCCCCGATGCTCGGCTAAACCCATGAGCCCACGCGCGTCGCCTGGCCTTGTCCGATGTCCATTTCATCCTGCACTTAACCAGGGCCCTCGTCGCTCCTGCGTGCGTGGCGCATCCTCGAGGCTCTGGGAGATCGCCTCCATCCCGCGCACCTGTAACAGCTTGGGCGAGCTTCGGAGCTGCGGCTGCGGGACATGCAACAGCGCTGAGGCGGCTCAAGTCTGAGTGGCAGAGCCTACTACGTTAGCGGACGCACGCCACAGAAAACGGACACCAGGTGAGTTGAGAGGACAACGGCTGGAAGGCATTAAAGCACGGGCCTCCTGCCTCGAAATGAAGCAAACGAACCCTGAGATGCCGGAGCGGTATCACGACTATCTGAGGCCCGTGGTGTATCCCCTACGAAGATGCGCAAGACAGCTTCCACAGGCAGGATGATATGCCAAACCTTCGTCGCTCCAGACAAGCCTCAAGCCTGAGCCATTTTTGTATCGTGTGAAGCAACACTGAAACCTCCGGAACCATAAGATACACTGCTCTGGGTTTACCGTTCGCTGGTCTCTTCTCGAACCCACAGAGATTGAAGGAGTCTTGGGGTTAATGCAAGGTCACCAAACCATCCAATACCATCCACTCCCGACCGAGGCATTGAGAAGTCAACTGTCCGCAAACTCTTCTAGAACAACGGAGACCTAGGATGTGACGAAGCTCTCCAGAAGCCTCAGACCTACCCGGAAACCCTGGACCCGAAAAGGCCCTTAAAGCCCCTAAAAGGCCTCTGAATCCCTAAACCGCCATAGTCCGCCTGGCTCTGGCCCTGGCGCCGAAGATAGGCCTCGTAGTGCTCGAGGCCCTTCTCCGTCGTTTGGAGGCTGCCAAGACACAGAAATTACGATTCTTTTTGGTTTGAGCCCTCTTTTCCGTTTAGGGTTGAGGGTTCAGAAGTACGGTTTAGAGTTTAGGATTTAGTGTAAGTTTTTTCCCCTCCTACATAGCAAGGACGAGGCCGCATTGCAGGGTAAGTTTAGTGTAGGGTTTAGGGTTTAAAGGGCTCGCGGAATTTTTAGGATTTCGGCGCGCCCTCACGCTGTGAAGGTTTTAGGCTTTAGAGCCCCATTGTTGTCAGATACAGGGATCTTTGGGCTTAGAGTTTGCGGTAGAAGGCTTGAGGTGGGCTGAATGCTTAGGTGTCTTGGTCATGCTATTCTGTCCTTCTCCTGATGTTGACGGCCGCTTCCTTTGTTGATGCAACCCAAGAAAGAGAGACAAGCGAAGATTCTGCTCTAGAGGCCGGCCCAACTGACTAGACTAGTGCTTCAGGCGGTTGCTAGCCTGTGATGTCAGGGGCGAATCGTAAAGCAAACCAATACAGGAAAAAGTCTTCCGGGACCGAGTCTTACTGCCGGATCTGGGGGCTATCTGTCACTGGAAAAAACCTACCGCAGTGGTGAGCCATGGTTTGTAGGAGAGCACCCGCAAGAAGTGGGGGCGGCTCACGGCTAAAGGATTGGCCCATGTCAGCCTGATGCTGTGGACGAGATCCTGAGGAGTTCTCGCCCTGACTCTTGCGAGGGCACCATCACCTCTCGTAACAAAGTATAAATGTCAAAGAATAGCCCTCATGATAACCTCACAGAGCTCACGACAACCCTCCAACACCTCTATTGTAACCCTATAAACCTATGATAGCCCTAGAACAACCTGTGATACGCCTACAACACAACTTATGATAATCCTGCAAACACACCATGATAGCCCTAGAAGGACCTAACAAAACCCTCTGAAAACCTACGATGACTCTACGAACACCTGTTTAAACAACCTGTTTAGCTCTCCAAAAACCGATCCGGCCCCCCTCCCCTTGAATTCTGATCATCACAGCTTGCACGCCTCGGTGGACTCATCGGCTCAAATCTCGCGATACAAAAGGGTTTCTATCTGCCACTATGCGAGTTAGTCTATTTTTCCCGCCCGCCCAGCTGACAACGGACTAGTATAAGGGCTTAAGGGTTTGGGGTTTAGGGTCAAGCGGTCTGAACAAACGTTTAGTTTTGTGGTTGGGGAAGGGTTCATTCCTACGAGCACTAACAGGCCGGACAGTTCTGTGTCAAACGAGTGCTTTTGCTGCAGACCATTCTTGTAAAACCCTGTAACCCTGATATAGGACAGCGCGTCCGCATACCATTTTAGGGACTTCAATACGACCTCTAATGTAGGGGCCCATGATACTATGAATGAAATGAAGAAACCCCAAAATCGTATATATGTAGGCCCCTTTATGATGATCCGAGCCGTCTTGGCCCCAAAGCTGTCCTCTCCTCGAGCCGGAACTGCGAGGATCCGGCGACAAATGGCGTTGCTCGGAATTAGCGCCTTGTTTAGTGGGGAGGGGGATAGTCTAAGTGTTTGTTCAAGGGCATTACCGGGGTCGAAAGCATTTCTTAGTAGAGGCCCTTTTCGGACTACTGAGGCTCCTAGGATGATCTACCTACTCAATGGGGTTCTATCTTGAGGTGTCGCAGGGTAGAAGTAGAAGCTCTGAAGCCATCGGTTGCACCTTTGCCTTGAAGCCTGGAGCCTTCTCCCTGGCTTTGGACCTTGGAACTTTAAGCTCTTCTGAAACGCAGCTGCCATGCACAGGAGCGGAGTGTGCCGCTGAATAGATCTTCATGTGGCAGCAAACAAAAGCCCAAATTCCCAGACAGACAAATTTTCGCAGCCTTGTTAGCTTTTTGACTGACGAATCCCTTCTCGACTGGTAGCTGCTCGTGGTGAGACCGAAATGCCGCCAGAAAACCCAGTGCCCCGCTACTGTTGCTCACCTCCCAAATCAGGGTGAGCATGCAATGGTTCTACCTCGGCAGGCAGGAGCTGTTTGGTCTCACAAGGTTTGGTATTTCACTTCGGACTACTTCCAAAAGTTCCAGCACTGTACCCCTGCTAGCAACAGTACGTCGCAGCGCACCTCAACCCTCACCCGCCGTAGTTCGTACATGGACATTTGCCATTATTTACCCGAACCGTCCATGAACCCGGTGCACTCATGCACCCGGTGACGACCACCCGGCACAACACGGGGCTGATTACGCCACGGCCCGTAGGGAATCAGAATTTCTGATGGCAACAGTTGGCCAATACCAGTTGCTGCGTCACTCATAAAGTCATAAAGGCGTGTTCAGTTCTACATGTGCCCATCATCTCGATTCTCTCCTCAAGGGGGTTTTGAAATCTCTCCGGCAGGCACTTGGCAAAGTGCTGCACTTGTGAGGTGAGCCTGAGTGGGCGGTCAGAGTTGATGCTCAAGCGTTTGCACCAGAGCAAACAGCCAGATGATGACAATGATGATGGATGAATTTCTCTCCCTTGATCTCCTCTCTCCCCTGATGCAACCACAATCGAAACAATGCCAGCAATGCCGCAATACCACTAACAACGGCCCTGGAAAATAGGGGCCCGATTCCATGCGGGAAGCTCTCAACTTGTTGATCATTTCTGCTTCCCGAGGTTTGGGGCTTTCAGAAGAAGAGGTAACTCGGTATAGGCTCCAACTATTCTATACGGTCATTTGTATGATGATCGCCAGACAAGGGCTCAGTTTTCGGAAAGCCCCAGATGTCTCCCTTGTGCATGCCGAACATGCACACGCTCGAGTAGGAGTGCCGCAGTTCTACCGCTGTTTTGGCCGGCGGTGTCCCTGATGAAGCTGGGAAGTGCTGCAGTTTCCTAGACCGAATCGGCCCTGAAATGGAAACACCAACTGAACTTGAATTTTCAACACTCGGAGACCTGCATTTGATGTCCGTGTCACCGCCAATACGACCCAGTCGAGCCCAATGGACACTATGAAGACATGCACAACCACCCTGACGTTCAACATGGATTTAAACTTCTAAGCCTTTAGCCCGAAGATCCGACAACCTCTAAGCTTCTCGAGGGTATTCTAGTGGAGACGCCCAGAACATGTTCAGATCTGCTGCGAGGCACAGCCCTTCTTTTGCTAGAGCCCCTACTAGACCTACCTGTCTGTAGGCCCTTTTTATAAACCCGGACATGGGAATTGTAGAGACCATACCAAAAAGTGGCTTTCAAGGTAAGCCCTAAGGACAAAATCCGAGACCCAGGGGACTTGGTAGCTGCCCCTGGAGGCCTTACTAATCAGAACAGGGTTCCTTTAAAGGAGTCCATAAAGGGTACCGTAATATAGGGGCCTCAATGACTAGAATGGGGCTTTGGGGTATATCATACTATATACTTATACTAAGCAGCCCCCACAACAGCGCAGTAACTGCATAGGCCCCTGTAGTAAAAGCCCAGCAACCGAGGACCTTGCAGGAACCGGTGGCTCCAGAAAATGGAGCTCCTTCTGCTCGTGCAGCTGCAGGAGCTCCTGTCTGATAAGATCACATTCCTATACTGGACTTAGACCCTTCGCAAAACTCACAATTTTAGCTGCTCCTTAGGGATTATAAGAACCAAAAATGAAAAATCTAAGTACCCCTGAGATTCCCCGATGATATGCATGATCTGTGCCCGCAGTTGGCATATTGAACTTCGCATCCCCCACCCCATATGCTTTCTACGAAGAAGTATGTCCCCTACTTCGTATTTATCGCTGCTGCCTAGGCTAATTCTTATGGTACTAGATACATGCTTCCATCTGACGTTGGCATATTCTATGTAATTACCCTCTTTGCGGGTGCTATTCGGTCGGCGTTGTGTTTGTTGCTAATCATTGACAATCATATGGTGCTTCTTCAATGGGGTACTTCTTCAGTGGCCTTTGCAGCCAAGAAGCAGATTCCGAAAAAATCATTCAAATGGCTGGAATGATACAGAATGTTTTGGAATGTTCAGCGGCGTCCAGCAACAGCCAAAATAGCCCAAAACGATGCCTTGCTTCAACCTCTGATGCATGCGGTTGGGATTTTTCGGACAAGCCAATCCAACATTTGGAAATGTTCGCTAAGATTCCGAAAAATACCCAAACATTCTGAAACATTCCAAAACATTCCAAAAAATTCCTTTCCGGATCGCGTGTGTGCGGTTTTCAATTCTCTCGACCTTAGCCTGCTGGCAAGGGAAATGCTGCCCAATTCTTTGCGGCACATTTTCTTTGCTGACAGACCTCGACCCAATGTTCTGGAATTTCTTGGAAGGTTTTAGAATGTTGTGGCATGAAAAGGTACGTTTTGGAATGTTTCAGGTGTTTAAGGCAAATTCCGGAATTATGAGCGAGGTCGGGGCTAACTCTGAAGAAGAACCCTATTGAAAAAGAACCATAAGATTGTTTAAGAGCTTCGATAGTCCTTACAATTTCGGATATGGGAATGCGGTGGGATGTGATGTGATGTAGCCACATGTCATACATGCAGTCCACGGCGCGGGTGCTGCGATTCTTATTCGAGTTGAACCGCTTTGTGCCATCTAGAAAGACTTTTCTCAAGATAAACATGGTATTATATGGTACGAAAATGCGTGAGCAACTTACAACTCCCGAGGAAAGAAATGCAAAGCAAGCTTGGGGCTCGACCAAAAAAGTAGAATTAAGGAACAGGTAGAGGAGAACACTACAAGCGAACATGGCTTGACCTTGGGTACTGCCCCGTATGAGGATAAGTTCATAGTATGTTTTATATTGCCCTTATTATTCGCCATGACGGTGTCCTTACCCCTCCGACTGCTTGGAGGGTGCAACAGGATATGACAGAATTCGCCGTGACAGTTTCCTTGCCCTTCCGATTTCTTGGAGGTTCACAACAAGAACAGACAGAATTGGCCGTGACCGTTTCCTTACCCTTCCGATTGCCTTGGAGCTTGCAACAAGAATAGAAAGAATTCGCCGTGACATTTTCCTTACCCTTCCGATTGCTTGGAGGTTCACAACGAGATAAGACAGAATTCGCCGTGACAGTTTCCTTACCCTTCTGATTGCCTTGAGGGTGCAGCAAGAACAAACAAAATTCGCCGTGACATTTTCCTTACCCTTCCGATTGCTTGGAGGTTCACAACAAGATAAGACAGAATTCGCCGTGACAGTTTCCGATTGCGTGGAAGCCTTCCGATTGCTTGGAGAGTGCAGCAAGAACAAACAGAATTCGCCGTGACGGTTTGCTTATCCTTCCGATTGCTTGGAGGATGCAACAAGAACAGACAGAATATGGCGTGACAGTTTCCTTACCCTTCCGATTGCTTGGAGGATGCAGCAAGAACAGACAGATTTCGCCGTGACAGTGTCCTTACCTTTCCGATGGCTTGGAGGGTGCAGCAAGAACGAACAGAATTCGCCGTGGCGGATGCAACAAGAACAGACAGAATTCGCAGCGACAGTTTCCTTACCCTTCAGATTTCTTGGAGGGTGCAACAAGAACAAACAAAATTCGCCGTGACAGTTTCCTTACCCTTCCGATTGCTTGGAGAGTGCAACAAGATAAGACAGAACTCGCCGTGACAGTTTCCTTACCCTTGCGATTTCGTGGCTCCTTTCCGTTTGCCTGGAAGGTGCAGCAAGCACAGTCAAATTCGCCGTGTCAGTTCCCTTACCCTTCTGGTCGCTTGGAGGGTGCAACAAGAACAGACTGAATTCGCCGTGACAGTTTACTCGCCGAAGCTTTTTTCACCCTTCCGATTGCTTGGAGGCTGCAGCAAGAACAGACAGAATTCGCCGTGACAAATTCCTTACCTTTCCGTTTGCTGGGAAAGTTAAATAAGGACGACAGATATCGCGGTGACAGTTTCCTTACCCTTCCGATTGTTGAGGGTGCAACAAGAACAGACAGAACTCGCCGTGACAGTTTCCTTACCGTTCCGATTTCCTGGAGGGTGAAACAACAAGGGAAAACATTCGCCGTGACCCTTTCCTTACCCGTCCGATTTCTTGAAGAGTGCAACAAGACCAAGCAGAATT